GCCCGTGTTTGCATTCTGGTTCGGACTGTTTTTCTTACATATGCTATGTAATTGTAAGCATGTTATGTTCTTAAATCTGTCCTGTATACTTAATTTATATTTCGTAACAAAGCACTCTATCAAGTCGAGAGAAAATACATGAGGGACTCGTTAAAAGATATTCTGTCTTTTCTGTAGGCCGTAAGCTTACATGGGTTTGGAAGTAATTTTAGATGGGCAGATTACTAGGAAAGACCGTACTTATTGGTTGGCCGTTGGTGACATAATATTTGCATGATTTATTCGCAAGAAGTTTATGAAATTAAGCATAATTTGACTCACATATGTATTCGAACATGTTAAATATCCAAAGATGTTCAAAGTATTTCGATGAAAGTTCTAAATCGAAATTAGCCTGTAAGTTGATTGGTTCATATCAGTTTGTTCCAAACCTGTTGTACTTTACATGGAACTTAGAATCGTTATATACTCTGACGGATTTGCTCAAAGCATTAAGCTATGGAAGCAGAAAACCCCGTTGCTAGGCAAACACATTCCCGAGGTAATGCAGTCAGCAATAGAACTTCGGTTACTCAGTAGCGAATGTCTCGATAAGCACGTCTTCAAGACAATGGGTTTCCATGGAGACGAGCTAGCCTATAGAAGGAGCCGTGGAGACTCATCAAATGACACTCGTCAGTGTCACTTGTCAGAGACACGTCGTTCAAGGCAGTTCAGTATGTGAGTAGTGATTCGCCATTCGTCGCAGTGGAAGAGAAGACACTCGTGGTCCAGTAAGGAATGGAGCGAGTCGCGGACAGTCATTGTTTGAGAGCTGTCAGAACTGAGTGTAATTACAAAGCAGTGCCAATAAAGCCGATCATCTAAATCCAGAACCCATTATTATTCGTCACCCAAACCCCTTATACGTGACAGTACTCTCTAAAAATGGCCGACCATACAAAAGACGCTGAGTACAAATTTTAAAATATAGATATAATTTAGTTCTGTAAAATTTACTTCATACATTTTTGACGTGTTGCTTATTCACGTAACATAATGTAGTAACTACTGTTGATGAGATCTATCTACAGTAGATGTTTATCTGCAATAAATAAACATATTAACCAATAATTTACAACTTCTGTCATCTGTGACGAACCAGGTGCCGAAGCAGAGACCCGCTGCGTGGTCAGGACTACTGCACGTCTCTGGGAGCTCTAACAGAAATGAGTACCAGGAATATTCTTGGGGGTAAAGGGCGGGGGCCGGTCACGGTAGCCGAGTGGTCTAAGGCATGCACTGTCTTCGCTCGCTCGGAAGCCGGGATCGTGGGTTCGAATCTCACTCAGGGCATGGATGTTTGTGTGCGTTTTTCTGTGTTTGTCTACAGGTAGAGGCCTTGCGACGAGCTGATCACTCGCCCAAGGAGTCCTACCGTATGTGTAAGATCTAGAAAAACTGAAGTGAACGGAGAAGTTCATCTAGGTAGGCCTAGGCCCACTGGGGCTGTAGTGCCAAGGAAAAAAAGGGGGGGGGCCGGGGCGTAGGGCTGTCAATCTTGCTGCCATCCATGAAGTGTCTGTCTAGAATATGTCCTCAACATC